CGTCTAAGGTTTGGATATTGAAGCAGACCTATTGTTGTTTCGACCATGACTACATTAATTGATAGACCAGCCGATTTGGGTAGGGCTTAGTAGCGCCGCTACGACACTAATTACTACCCGGATAGTAAGGCTACAAATATGTATACCCAGAGAGCATCGGTATACCTTCGGTCTCCATTCGGCAATCGAAAAATATGAAATTCGAAAAGTTTTCCTCCGGTATGCATATACGGCTTAACTAACGGACCACTAAACCATCGCTCATGTGGCCGTTGGGTTCCAAGCTCCAACTATATACTTCTTTAGAAGCTTTAGAGATTAATAAGTGGGAAGAAATTAAGTGCATTCATAGACGTTGTATTCGAAAGTAGACGGAGAACGACTGATTTTCCTTTCGATCGCCTCGAACCAATCGCTTTGCTAACAAAGTGACTGCACAGAAAACCTCTGAGAACCCATATCTGGAATGGCTGATTTTTCTTTTGATCGCATAAGAATACACTCTGAAGCCGATACTACTTGGCTTACGGAGTGTCCGAAAAAAAAGTCCTGCGAGATCCCATATCCTAATGAGGCTAACGCAAACCTTCCGCGTACTGTCTCGACCGCGTCTCGGAACTGAATACTAAAGACTGCTGCCGCCTTTCTTCAAACACGCCGCTCAGTCGGTTGGACGGGCCATGGGTAACGCAAGGTTTCGTCGTGGAAACTTTAACCAATGACTTTTTGGTGTTCGGGGTGATGAAAGGCGATGCATGCTCACTTCCAAGTTCAGAGCCGAGACCAACCTGTTTTTTAAATATTTCTATATACTTAACGGAAATCTAAAATAATTAGCTTCAATCACATTTTATGCAATTCTCATGTCATAAAATACCCTTTTGAACAACATCAAAGCCTTGCATGCACCAATTCATTAAGACCGCGCTTAGAAATACTTGACGGACATTAATTGGCGGTCCAAGGGAGATTTCNCCTTTTGTTTTTTGACGTCTTGTTTTTTTTCTGCTCATACTTTTCCAATCAAAGTCTAACCAATCAATCGGACCCGAATTGCATTCAGACGCTGAGCGCGCTCAAGTGACACTCGTTGCTTGCTGGCTACGCCATTTTGACCAGCGCTGCTGCTGTGTATCCCCCACCATCTCCTCCTTATGCTTAGACTTGTTAGCATAATTAAGTTTTGTAATGCATACGAAATAATTATTGAAATTAAATATTCAACGTGAAGTGCTAGTCAGTCAACCAGGCAGCCAGCCATCCAGCAATTACCAGCAGCCATTGCCATTGCGGCCACTTCAACTTTTGTGCAACACGAAAAAGCGGCGACCAAATTAGTGCGCTGTCGAGTGCGAGCGAGCAAAATACGAATAAAAACATAAGAACGTGGAAAGTAAAGCAAAAAGTACAAAAAGCTTCGATTTGAATGACAGGTGCTCGTGCAGAGCGCATAGGAAATAAATAAAAATGGGAAAATACTTGAGCTGCTGTTGCTGCAATCGGTCTCCACTTCTCACGCCCACTTGTGGCGCAGCGCATGCCGCTATTCAGCAACACCACTTCATTTCCACCCAGCTGCACAGGTAAGCCACCAGTACCCAAGAACTGGTGACACCAACAAACATCAGCTGGCGCAGCGCTGTGCATTGGGTGCGCCTTTTGTGTCAATTTTTCAAATTAATTGGAGCTGTTGACATTTTTTCCGCTTCGCTGCTGCTTCCCGCACCACCCTCATTCATATTTTTTCTTATTTTTATTTCTCTTTTCATTATTTTTCAGTACTTTGCCTTCTTCGCCGCAGCTATGCATGTATGTATAGGATGATTGACAGACACTAGGAGGAGTGCGCCTTCAGGTTTGGAGACGCCGCCATAGTGGGTGCTAGTGCTGGAGCCGTAGCCGTGTCATTGGCGCATTGAAGCGCTGTAGCATGAAAAAAATTGAAAGGAAATAAAAGAAATAAAAAGAAAAAACGAAATCACTCAGCGAAACATCAAATGAAAGCGCATTTCTATGGGCAGCACAACAAAATGGAAATGGAAATCGAAAAAAGCAAAAATGGCGGAAGAAACAAAAAAAAAATAAAAAATTTTCAAAAAAATGCATAGAAATGAGGATAGGCAAATATGAAACCACAAGCTGGCTAAATAAGAAGAAAGTTGAATTGGCACTTCACTTCAATGCGGCAATGCGGGCGAGATGTTCGTTGGCGATAACGTTGGGTTGTGGAGACAAATTAGTGACTTTTGTCGCTTATGCGGTGACATGAATTTCAATTTATTTAATGAGTTGTAGCGCGGAGCAAACTATTAAGAAAGTACAGACTGGATTCGGAAGCATAATAGAGTTGTCGGCACTTGGTATCCCAATATTTCGTTGTGATTTCCTTTTATAGAGAAGATGCTCATATAACAGCAGTTCCTTTTGGTATTCAAAACCGTTGGGGCATACGATGAAGTTAATGGGTGCAAACGCAAAGTGTATGGCACATGGCACATGAGAAATCAAGTGCTTTCTTTGCGAACTTGCTAGTTTTCTACGCTCGTAAGTTGAGGAAGAAGCTACTAATTGGCGGTTGACTAACCTTCGAACCAGCGAAGTACCCTTTTTTCTTAAAATTATACGCCGGGTTGTGATTAGATGGCAAGCACTGCCCTGATGAGTCATGCCAAAAACATTTCCAGCGAAGCTTTTAAAAACTTTTTATAGACTTCATATTGACTCGCTCTCTCTGGTCGTCGATGGCCTAGATGCAACGATAAAAATCAGATTTTTGAGAAGCATATGGTTTTCGTATTAGTTCGTACGATAAATGATACTGAAAATGGCATAGCTTAGAAACCCAATTTATTTCCAAACCAAATTTGGCAATGGATGACGAAAATTTGTTCCGTCTAGCCTTACCTACCTATATCCAAATTATGGCACAGCTCCGCAGACTACACTCAGCCCATTGAGAAAGAGAGAGGGAGAGCGAGAGAGAGACAGACAGAGAGAGAGAAAAGTGTTTCATTTAGTTTTTCTCGAAGTTCTTGAAAATTTAGCAAACAAATTTTATTGCTTTTCATTAAAGAATATTTATTTTTAAAATTTTGGTAAAAAAAATTTGTTTAGAAATTATTTTAATTTTTTCTACAATTTTTAGTAGAAAAATTCTTTTTTCAAAAAATAGTTTACAGATTTTTTTTGTACTTTTTTAAATAGAAATCTTCACTATGTTGCTTCTAAAAATATGTCTGCGAAAGCAACATTGTTTGTGTTCCGGAAAAATTTGCACAAAAATTTTATACTTAAAAGCAAAAAATAACCATGGCTTTATTCAAAAAAATACAATGTGGGTTTTCACGCTTGCCTGGTTATCAATTTATCAGGTAATCTGTATATGTTGAGCCCCAACCGCCAAAAAGGCGTAAGCCACATTTTTTTTAAGTTTCTTTTTGATGCAGAAATGTTCAATGCATTCTGCATCAAAAATAAAATTTTGAAAAAAATGTTGCTTTCGTCGCGGTTAGGGCTCGATGAGTTTATACATATATGTTATTCAGTTTACAACAATAAAATACACTATAGGATAAAAATGTTTAACCAGATAACCTGATATCCAGGCAAGTATGAACACCCACAATATTTTTCAACCAGATAACTTAATAACCAGGCAAATCTGAACATCAACAATATATTCCTGAAATTTTAACTAAAAATTTTAATTTTTTTCTAAATCTTGAGTTTGGTAACCAAAATTGTTTTCTTCGTATTTATTTTCCTAACGCGAAATTCTAAAAACTAATGTTATTCTTTATTTTTCTAGTTTTTGCTGTGCCTAAAACTTCATTCTAAAAAAAAAGTATTCCCTAAAATAAGCGTCGAGCATTCATTACTTTTTTCTGCGAAAACAAATTCTTATGCTAAGGGAGTTTTAGCACAAAAACGTATTGAATAGAAAAAGTCCCTGCGCTTCATTAAAAATAAATCTATTACTGACATTGTAACTCAAAAATTTTAATTCAAAGTTTTTATTTTTTTTCTAAAACTTAGTTTCTAATCAATTTTTTTTTTTTTAATATTTATTTTTTTTAACGCAAAATTCTAAATATTTTTCTTAATTTGTGTTTATTTTTCGAACTCAAAATTTTAAATTTTATTGTTTCTACCAAATTTTTTTTTTTATTTCACCAAAAAAGAATGATAACTATGTACTCTTGAAGTTTTATGAATTTTTTCTCCAGGAAAAGTTTTGCTATGCCTAATGTTGTACTCTAAATTTTTTATTGTTATTCTAAAAAAATGCCTATTCCTCAAATATGAGCGTAGAAAAAGGCTTCCGTCTCACTGTACTTCCTTAACAATTGTCGCCATGTCACCAATTGTCAACCAACCAATCGACAAACAAGACACTTCGACCACCAACCAACACTCTCGGCCCAGCGTGGCATACAGGCAGCCAGCCTGTCTAACGGATTAGTCAACCTAAGCAACCCTCAAAACATATATATGTTTATAGTGTGTGGAAATGTATGAATACATGCATGTATATTTGTATACATACATATGTACTTTATCAACAAATGTGGAAAAAAATTGTCGCCGCCATGCTTGAAATGTGATCAGGCGTATTTTGAAGTACGATAAGGGGAGCGAAATTTTTGTATTGGGTATGGAGAGAAAGATT